TTTTTTTTTTTTTTTATTTTGTTTAAGTACAAATTCGAGAAATACCCTCCGAAATTAACATTTAGAACATCTGAAATCTGAAACAGGCATGTATTTTTATCAAAATCGGGCCATATTACAGTATATGCACGCGTAAAAACGGTAAAATAGAAGGCATAATTTTGAAAACCGAGCGCGACGACGATACATGCACTCAACATCGGACCTATTCTTTATTACTGTACAACTAGTGGTTGCTTGAATCAGAAATCGTATTCATTACCTTGGACAATAAATAAAAACAGGCTAAGGTCTGGCCATCGCTTTTAAATCGGTGCATAGCTAGACATTTCGGCTCCGTTACGGTTTTAGGCCAACCATAAACGAAATATTTTTTCTCGAAGTTTACTTCGATTGTATTACATAAAGGGCGCTTGGTTGGACATTTTTCATAGCCACAGTATGGTTTTGCTCGACCTGCCCTTGTGTGATCGTGTGGATCGGATACACATTACAGTATTATTTTACGTTTCAAAGCCAAATAAATCTTTCTTTAAACTGATTTATTTTTGTTAAATTTATTTTAATATACAGCTCTTTAGTATTTATTCCGTCATTACTTTGAATACTTTTTGTTTTGCAAGCTTGACATTGTTCTGTTGTGGTGCCTAGTCTCTTCATATAGGGACTGTAGTTTCAGGCCTATCTTATTTCATGTAGGCCTATTACTTAAAAAAAAACAAAAAACAAAAAAAAAAAACACCGACCGACCGACCTTCGATCTCAACACAGCAATTATTTCTTTGGCCTCGTTTATAGAGTTGTGACCCTGTTTCACCCAGACTATTGTTTCTAATCATGCTTGCATGACTTCTCTCATTATACTATCTGGCTTTTTTTACTCTCACTTCCTTGCCACTGAGAAAGGAAGAGTGTTGTCGGAGAGCTCTGTGTCTATTTCTCGGGCTATTTACTTTTACTTTTTAGCTGTTTTAGCTGTTGCTTATCAAATTTGTATCTCTACTATGCATGCATGCATACATGCATATAAACATACCTGTGTATATGCCTATGAAAATCTTCAAGGAAGGTTTACACATTAAAATTTGGACCCTGGTAATAACAATAATAACTTTATTGTTTCGCTTTTGTAACAAATGCACAATCGCTAAAGAGATATGCAACAATACTTCACAATATAAGAGTAAAAATAGCATATGTACGTTTGTCTTGCTATATAGGCCCACGTTTCTTACTTAACTAATATACTGTCTAATTAATATGTTATCAGTATATTGAATTTTTTACTTAACTCTGGTAAAACCATAAATGAAAAAAACCCATAAAAATTATTATTCTTTATTTTTAGGTAACCTATTCTGTTGTTAAGGTAGTTGATAATTTATTCAGTGTTGAAGAGGAAATTTTGATGGAAAGTCAAATGAAGAATCAGGCCCCAACTGAGATTGTTAAATTTCTGGAACAACAACTGAGTCAGGTGGAGCTAGATGATGATGGCGTCTATAACGCAAGTACCCCTAATCTTGCGGTACAGGTTCAGAAGGTCGATACAAGCCGAATAAGTGAAGAGAATATCACTTACTTTAGTTTTGTTTCCAAATCAAGTGAGACTAGTGTAGGCCCTGTTGAAGAAATCCATGATAGTGAGAAAATACCTGATGCGGCTAATGTGTCAATTGCTGTGCCAAGAAATATATCTACCGTCATCGAAAAAAACAACTTGAGAGGTAAAAA